CATCTTCACATGACGGTGGTTGCTCCAGTCGGTACCCTTTCTTGAGTTCATTAAGTATGTCCATACCACTTTCAATGCCAGCATATGGARTTGTACCTGCAATGATCAAAGACAGTATGCACTGTATAAAGGGCCCGTATCATTTTCATTGCGCATTCACCTTTCGTCATCTCAAATTTGGTGAATTCGCTTGTGTAGAATTTCATAGAGATATTGAATCCCCCTATCTGAGCGATCTAGGGTGCAACTTTTGAGAGCACTGACAGCAAAAATGATACCTCTAAGCTGGGAATCCGCTCCTCATACCTTTAAATTCAATTATAATCATGTCACTATTGCAATTTCTAGGCAGATGTAAATTTGCCGGATAAGTGTTAAAAKTTCCCTAGCTTTAAATCCAAAGAACGAGGCTGTACGAAGGGTTGATAAAGATTCATATGGATTTTAATTATCGACTGGACAAAGACTTATCCGGTGGATAGCACCCTTCATACAAGCGTCCCTTGATTTCTGATTTTTTTACTGTCGCTGATATCTTCATCTTTGAAATGAAATACACAAAAATGGTGTTCTAAAGTTTCTGACTGACCAGCCTCTTGTGAAGAGTAGCCGGAGCAATATACCTGCTGTCTCTATCTCCCATAAAGTTATTCCAAATGACCACCTAAAAGTAACACAGCACACTGAGTTAGGCATTTGRAATATTTTTGAATCGAGAATTCAAGAAGAAAAAAGTTAAGRCGCATTATGAAAAGGAACAACGCCAAACACGCATCATGTAAAGCACAGACAATCTGGCCGAAAATTTCTACCCCGCAAGGACGAATTGAGCTCTTAATTAACTTGTTAATTATTGCGTTGCAAAAAAAGCTTCAATTATGCTTACACATCGCTTTTTGTAGTACAAGTGTAATCCTCTATCGATTCAGGAGCCATCCATCTTACTGGCCTTTTCCCCTAGTATTAAAAAAATAATATACTTTAGTAAACGAGCAATATGATTGGTTGATAAGCCGTATTTCATTTTAACAAAATCATCGGCATAGATGCGCCAAAATAATTTTACTGATATTACCGCTTTTGTATTTCATCACTTTAAAGTGTTATAGCTGGCTATAGCGGTAACTCAACAGATAAAAGACTAGATTCTAGATCTTCTTATTAAAAAGAGTGATCTCGCGCGTGATAAAAACGCGATCACCTGCCAATAACCATGCGTGTTTTGTATCAAAATATTCTTGCATGTTGAAGCACATGGGTAAACTAATATCAAAGGAGCGCAAGAAACWMTAAAATTGTAAACTCGACGCGAGTGGGTCTAAAAATACATCATGGAAAGATACTTACTCCTCTGCAGTCCTCATACATTCCACTTTCATAGATATCACGAGACAAGCCGAAGTCTGACACCATAGGAACCAGATGTTTGCCTAAAAGAACATTTCTTGAAGCCAGGTCACGATGGACACACTGAAATGAACAAGAATGAAAT